GAGAAGGTTTGAGAACCAGGCTATAAGGGTCCTAGATTTCCCCTTGACGTCTGATGAAGGGGTTGGTAAAGGAAAGGGAGTTGCAATTCCCTCCGAGTCTGAAGATGAAGAGGAAGAAGAAGAGGAGGAGGAAGATTACTCTGAGCAGCAGTATCCTCCCGCGAACGATAAGTATAAAAATCTGGAAGACCGACTGGCAGCCATGGAGGTACAAAGAGTACCTGGGTTGGATTTCGAAGAACTAGGGTTGGTTGCTGGGATCGTCATTCCCCCCAAGTTCAAAGTGCCTACATTTGCTAAATACGACAGTTTGTCCTGTCCAAAGATGCATCTACGGTCCTACGTCAGAAAGATCCAACCTCACTCTTCTGATAAGGATCTGTGGGTCCACTTTTTTCAAGATAGTTTGTCGGGTATGCAATTGGACTGGTTCTATCAACTTGAGAGATCTGATGTACATAACTGGGAGGATTTGGCTGCTGCTTTCTACCGACAATACCAATATAACGCAGATTTAGCGCCTACTCGTACTCAACTACAGAGTATGGGTATGGTCTCTAATGAAGGCTTTAAGGAGTATGCCCAGAAGTGGCGTGATTTGGCTGGAAGGGTGCAACCACCATTGTCTGATAGAGAGCTGGTTGATATGTTTTTGGGGACCCTGTCAGGTCCATTCTTTAATCACTTGATCGGGAGCTCATCTGCAGGGTTCACTGAATTAATTCTGACAGGTGAAAGGGTCGAAGCTGGCATTAAGAGCGATAAAATCCAGAAGGATGCGTCTGCTTCTGCCGCTATCAAGAAGACCTTCCCAGCCAAGAAGGAAGTTTCTACTGTTTACACCCAGAAAAATCAAGGAAGAACGGAACGCCGACCATCGGTAGGGGCTGTGATGATTCAGAACTCCTCAGCCGATCAACCTCGAAGCAGTCAACCCAGAGCTAACCAAACCAGGGTGGAAAGGCCACAACGACAATTCACTCGGATCAATATGACACCTGCTCAGGTCCTCCCTCATCTGTTAAAGTTAAACCTTACCAACTTGAAGGAAGCGCCGAAAAACCCAAATACCTCTTCTCCCTATTATCATTCAAATGCAAAATGTGCATATCATTCGGACAGTGTGGGGCACGACACCAACAACTGTTGGGCCCTTAAAAACAAGATCCAAGATTTAATAGATGCCAAGGAGGTGGAGTTCGATGCCCCCGAAAAACCTAATGTGATATCCGCTCCTATGCGAAAACATGGTCATAATGTCCATGCTATCATAGAAGATCTTCATGTTACTGTTGTTGATGACTTAATGACTCAGTTGCCAATTATTAAGATGAATCTGTTAAAAGCCGGGATTTTCCCAGGCTGTGAAAAAGATTGTTACCGTTGTTCGACCTTGCAATCCGACTGTCCTCTATTGAAGTCAGGCATCCAACGCCTGATGGATACTCAAGAAATCCTCTTCAAGAAAACTCCTGTTACTACTGTTACTCCTGTTACTCCAATCAATGATGTTACTATAATCACCATTTCCGACAATCTTTCCAAGACCTGCAAAAGGCCTGTTAAGATTACACCCGATCCAAAGTTTGTACCGCTGAAGATTACCATGCCGAGGCCTATCCCATATAAGTCCAACAAGACGATACCGTGGAATTATGGAGGAGAGATCTTCTACCACGGTGTTAAGCAGATTGAATCAGTTGAAGAGAATTCCGATGAAGAAACTCCTGATGTAGGAAATATTGCAAGGACAAGTAAGATAACTCGTATCGGAAGAATCTTCTCTCCGGAGATTGCTCCTACAAGGGCAATCTTCGGACCCTCAAGTGCTCATGTGCCTGTCAAGATATCTGTGCGAAGTCCAGTCATTGAAGAAATTGTTACTCCCTAAACTATACCCTCTGCTGTTACTGTTGATAAAGGTAAGGGGATCCAAGAAGCGCCCGTCAGGACGAGGGCTCAGACTTTGGTTATCCCCGAGACCACCCAAAAAGAAATGGAGGAGATTTTAAAGATAATTAAGAAAAGTGACTATGATGTCGTAGAGCAGTTGGGGCAAACCACTTCAAAAATATCTATGTTAGCTCTGTTTCTATGCTCCGAGGCTCATGCCAAAGCCTTGATCAAATTCCTGAAGACGGCGCACGTGCCTCAAGAAACTTCTGCAGATCAGTTTCAAGAGTGTGTAGCTAGCCTTAAAGCCGACAATGGTATTGGCTTCTCCGATGCCGATCTGACGTCTAAGGGAAGAAAGCATAATGATGTGCTGCATGTTTCGGTAGAGTGCAGAGGGACCACACTTGCTCACGTTCTGGTTGATACTGAGTCATCTTTAAACGTTATACCAAAGAAAGCATTGGACATACTAGACTATGAAGGTTTGAGCTTAAAGCCCAGTAATATCATTGTTAGAGCCTTTGACGGTTCTAAGCGGATGGTTCACGGAGAGGTGGACATCCCAATTAAGGTGGGAACGGAAATTTTCAACTCTACATTTTATGTGATGGACATCCGTCCTTCATATTCATACTTGTTGGGAAGGCCATGGATCCACAACACTGGGGCAATCACTTCTTCTCTACACCAGATGCTCAAATACCCAGTCCAGGGTAAGATCATAACAGTTCATGGTGAGGAGGAGTATATGATAAGCCACCTTAACTCTTTCCGCTACGTGGAGTTTGTTGCACCCCAAAATTTTCCCTCCTAATTTCCTTTATTTTGGCTTAGACTTTTGCATTCATCTGCATCTTTTTTATTAGGTCACTAACATGACATACATTTCATTCAATATAGCTCTGAGGTTCAAAGTTCAGTGGTTGTGCGATACTAGGGTTTCATAGTGGTTAAAGCGCTCATATTCAATAAAGGACTTCTTCTCCCTCAAGCAGCAAGGCTATTATCTTCTGATAAACAACCGATTGTAGGTCATTCTGGTCAAGAACTCTAGGACGTGACCTAGCATATGTGGGCTTCGAATCATGACGTCCTTTCCTATAAGTATGCTTGTCATTTGATTAGGATTAATGACTGTGACATGACAATCGTCTACCCCTCAGTTAATCAAATTAGGTTTTGTTGAATCATGGTTCAAAGATGTTTTATCCGGATATTTCTCTGTGCGTCTGAACGAGGAATCAAGATTGTGAGGGTTTCACATCAAGGGAATTCTTCTGTGATTCAGACTTTATCATCCATCTGTAAGATGTTCCTTATGACACTAATCTCAAGTTGAAATAACCGATCGCTAAGGGATGAGGATTGAATTGTGAAGCGTGGTTCATGACCTAAGATGTGAATTCATAGATTTCTCCTTAACCAAGGCAATCATTGTCCTCATCATTGTCATTTGTTATCTGCGATGCGAGTAGGTTTGGATTGAAGTAGGTTTCTCATAGAAGAATTCATGCAAGGTAATTCAAGGTTCAAGGCATTCAAGGCAGGGTTTGTTCAACATGGCATACCTGGTTGATGGGATTACAAGCTCTTATGAGACCTTGAGACGCATAATCATGGGCCAAGTTCAAAGATACGAGGATAAGATCTGTTGACTTCGGTGAAAGTAAGCTTTGAACAATTAACTTTGGGGCCAAGGTCTCCCTTGAATTTTCATCTAATATGTGTGTTGGGAATTCGAGTTGCATTTGAAGAATAGTATGGTAAAGGAAAAGAAATATTGGTTCAGAAAAGGAAGATTTCATTAAAAATCAGGGTTTCTATTCATCGATAAATGTTCAAGTAATTGAAGATCAGGGGAGATGAGGTTTCATGTTAATCTCGATCATGTTCTTTCATTATCATTTGTGTACACCTTTGATGATTAAAGGTCGTCAATTAGAGAAGGAGCTCGTCGAGATAAGAGACTTGTGGATTGAATCGTAGGATGAGGCATGATGCAAAAGGGCGAGGTTGTGAATTTTTAGGATTAAGATCCCATTGGCTATTCAAATTATTTGTCATTCAAGAGTGAAGTTAGGAGTTCATTGAGAATGCAAGTGTGATTTAGATTTGAAGTTTGATTTGAGTTCAAGATGTTTGAAAGTGTTTGATTGGATTAAAGTTGGCAAAGAGCCTTAAGTATTGGTCATATGAGTTTCTTGGAAGGTAAAGTACAGACTGCGAGGTCTTGTTTCAAGTCGGAGTTCATACGCATTACAAAGACGTTCATCGTTATTCTAGATTCAAGTTGACATGTGTTCAAAGTTTATTCGAACCCTTTCATTCATGATTCAAGAAAATACTATCCAATTCCATTCAATTTCATTCAAGTGTAACAATACCTTACAAGAAAATTTGATGCTTTCATGTCTTCAAACATTTTCTCAAGACTTTGTCATTTAAACTCCATCCTTAAAATTCATCACCCAACATTTCAAGCTCAAAGGTCATTTACAATTCACACTATAAATTTCAAGTTCATCTAAACCAAACATTCATTATAAAATCATTACAATCCCATTACACCAATATTCTACAAAGAAAAAAAACTGTTACAAAGTACACTTGAACAAAATTCTTTAGTCCTAAAGGTGCTAAAATTCCATGAGTAAACTTCTAATTCCATGCCATGCCAAAGTTCTTCATCTTCAGTTCATGACCTGCACATTCATACAAAAAAAAATCCAAGTCAATACAAGAAATCATACCAAAATACCCCCATTCCCACCGCTACCCTCATTTCACACAGTATCACAAAAAAAGCTGCCTCCTCCTCGTATCAGCCAGTTATGCCCGATATGAAGTCTCAATTTGGTTTTACAGCTTCTGATGGAAATACCCTATTTCATCAGAATCCATTTTTGCCAATCATGGCTTTGGAAAGTGATAAGCTCCAACATTCTTCTGCCGTAGGTGTTTCAGGGCATCCAGTTTCTTTACCTATTCAGTTTCCTATTGTGGTTAATGAAGCAAATGGTCAGTATGGTCAGTATAATTACCTAGTGCTGGACATAAACTAGATTCAGAACCCCGTATTAACGCTTCCCGTGGTACCTACGAGCATGCATCCACCACTTGGTTACATTGTTGCTTCTGATGGAGAAATGGTACATACTTCAAATCCTTACGCACCAATACTACCTGCTGCTTATACTGCATCTGGACATGATTCCTCATCTCCACAAGTGGAGCCATTTCAGCGTCCAACTCAAGTAATGACAGAGAGCAGTGCAGATGATAAAACCCTTGAGCATCCTATGCATAATGTAGTGTGTAGTGATGGGCCTCCAAACAGTCATGTTATTGCTTCAGATGGAGAAATGGTACATAATTCAAACCCACTCCTTTCACTACCACCTGTCGAATGTGCTAACTCAGAACATGATTCCATCTCTCCTCTGGCAGTGTGTGTAATCAAGCTACAAAAGGCATTTACCTGGATTTTGCTCTTGAAGCCATACTTATGAGCGCACCTCCTATTTCCATTTTCTTAATGGATCAGGAAAGGCTTCGTAATTTTATCATTTGGGCAATTACAACTGCGTTAGCGTCGGATTCTGCACAAAGGTTGAGGTCTAACGAGTCTCGCATTTTTGTCAACAAAAAAAGAACTAGGAAAAGAGTCTCGTGTTGACTCCTTAGTGTCAAAATTTTTGCGTTGGTTAACAGCATCAGTAATCAATGGGAAGCTTCATCAAAAATCTAATGATATATATTCAAGGTTTACAGAAACATATAAGCTAGAATCCCTGCATTCTTTACTGGTGCATGTAGAAAATACTTCAGAGCAAAGACAGATCCAGATGATTACTGCTTTACTTATCCAATTAATTCATTGTAGTGCTAACCTTCCTGATTCTTTAAGACAAGCATCGAGTAGTAATTCTGTATTGGAAATCCCGGTTGATGCTAGTTATCAAGCTAAATGCCGCGATGCAGTAACAGAAGCCTGCTCCTATTTTTGGACCCGTGTACTTCAACGACTTGCAAGTGTAAAGACTCAGGATGCTTCTGAATTGAAATCCACAATGGAGAATCTTGTTACTGATTTATTGACCACTCTAAATTTACCTGAATATCCTGCTTCAGCTTCTATTCTAGAGGTTCTATGTGCCATACTAATTCAGAATGCTGGGACAAGTTCCAAGGATTTTGCTTCACGTTCCATGGCAATTGATATTCTTGGAACTATTGCGGCAAGGTTGAAGCATGATGCTGTGATTTGTAGCCAGGAAAAGTTTTGGGTACTTCAAGATTTACTTAGTAAGGATGCTGCTCCTCAGAATTATCCGAAAGATACATGTTGTGCCTGTTTGGGTGGAAGGGCTGAAAATTTGTTCCCATGTTCCGGCTGCAGTAGGCTTTTTCATGCTGAATGCCTGGGCATTGAAGAAGATGAAGTTCTCAATCAGAACTGGTACTGTCACATGTGCATCTGCTCAAAGCAACTGGCTGCTGAAGGAATTGTTTGTAGGACAAAAGCTTGAAGAATGGGAAACAGAAGATTAATTAACAACTCTCTAACTACCTCCAAACAGAATTCCCAACTAGCATAACCCCCTTGTAACCAACTCTCAATCTCACCCTTCAATCCCTAACAAACTCTATCCAAATCAATGGTTCAGATTGATTCCCACATAACCGTTTCCTCCCTCAATTACCTATATAATCCAAACTCCCTCCAAGTTTGAGGGGACGATGATACTTTCTCTTTTCCAGTTTCAAACTTCATCCTCTCTCCACCATTTTTTTCTATCCTCTTCCATCAACACACTTCATTTTTCACCCAGAACTCAAAAAGTTTTCGGAATTCTCTCTCTTTCTTCTCTAACCAATACTCTTCACCCTTCAAGCCACTCTTCATTTTTACTTACTTCTGAAACCCTGCTTCATCTTCATCAAATCATCTCTCTGTAAACTCAAATCACACTCCTGCGATCTCACTCAAACACAACTCACAACGACAACCGCAACAACACCAACATACAAATCATTAACAATTTTCACAAAAGAAATAGAAGAAAAAGAAGAAGAAGTCGTGCAAAGAAGTTAAGAGATATTGTACCTGAAACTTCTTCAGATTTTTCGTTGTCGGCATCACCCTCGAAGAGACACCGGGTGCCTTCTCCGGTTGGTAAGACTTCTTCAATCTTTCATTCTACATTTTATGCTCTTTGTCGAAGAATGAAACTTGAATTTTAGTCCGCGAAGAGGTTGATGGAAGAGAGACGTGTGAACCGAGGCGGATCAAAAACGAACAATGAAGAGAGGAGCAGAGGTTTGAGTTACGATTGAATTGTGAAACCAAAGTAGAAAGAACGAGTCAGAGGTGTGATTCGGCACCATTGAGGGAAGAGGAAGAGGACTTTATTTCTCTTGAAGTCTAACCGTCACACGATTTGGGAACCCTGGGAACAAAATCACGCCATTCATTTGTTTGTTGTGTTTTTCTAATTCCTTTTATTGATAACAGTGGAGATACACGAAGCTGAATAAAAGGTGGATGGATCTTGGTATGATCTTAGTGGACCGAGGTATACACCATTCAGGTCCATGGCCATTATTTTCGGGAGTTGGTTTTTGGTGAGGCATAAATATTGGGTTGGGCCTGCGAGTCAATGTTACTACAATACACACCCTGCTTCAGACTCACACACCCCTGTGTAAAGTTTTTCTAGCTTTTCTTTAGCCTTTTCTTTTCATAGTCGTTAGATAACAATTTTGTTAATAAAAATATTGATATAATAAAAACCTAAAAAATGTTAGAGATATTTTTAGAAATTAATTCTTGATTATCCGATTACTCGAGACTTGTGATTCGCTGTTGTTTTTCGAGATTTGAGTCTTATGCAGGTTTATTATGCGGTATACAGATATGCTTGAGGTTCCGATTGTGATTTATTTTCACATCAATGATGCTTCAACACTTATTCCGAGCATTAGATTTCTAATTCTTTTCTTTGTTGATGTTAGCAGCTCATGAGATCATCAAGTTTCTTTGCTTTTTACTTTGCTCTATGAGCTAGTACTCATTTGGTATATTTTATTTCCACTCTCACCCCGCATTTATCACTTCCCATAGATTGCATGGTACGATAACATTAGATTTAGAAATAGCCTAGTCTTCCTGTGACTTTCGTCTTCCTGTGACTTTCGTCTTCCTGTGACTTCGTCTTCCTGTGACTTTCATCTTCCTGTGACTTTCGTCTTCCTGTGACTTTCGTCTTCCTGTGACTTCGTCTTCCTGTGACTTTCGTCTTCCTGTGACTTTCGTCTTCCTGTGACTTTCGTCTTCCTGTGACTTCGTCTTCCTGTGACTTTCGTCTTCCTGTGACTTTCGTCTTCCTGTGACTTCGTCTTCCTGTGACTTTCGTCTTCCTGTGACTTTCGTCTTCCTGTGACTTTCGTCTTCCTGTGACTTTATCTTCCTGTGACTTTCGTCTTCCCGTGACTTTCGTCTTCCTGTGACTTTCGTCTTCCTGTGACTTCGTCTTCCTGTGACTTTCGTCTTCCTGTGACTTTCGTCTTCCTGTGACTTTCGTCTTCCTGTGACTTTCGTCTTCCTGTGACTTTCGTCTTCCTGTGACTTTCGTCTTTCTGTGACTTTTGTCTTCCTGTGACTTTCTTTCCTCCTTTGCATATGCAGTTAAAACAAAAAAAACTTTTTTTTTACAAACTTCAAAAATACATAAAAATTTACTAAAACCATGTCTTGGCTAAGTTTGAGAGATGATGAGCGGGTTTCTTCTCGACATTATTATTCTCTTGTTCTAAGCTTTGGTATGATTCAAGTCTCAAAGACTCATTTCATGAATAAATAGAGAAATGGCTAAAATCTCTCTCTTGAGGTTAACTAGCTATTATCTACAAGCAAAAACACCAACAAACATAAAAATCTTTTTGCCCTCGGGCCTTTCTTTCAAACCCTTTTCAAAAGAGCGTATTAATTCACTTCTGTGCTGACGCGTAAATCTCCAAAGGTCGAGTTGCGGAAGAAGGCGAGATTAATACTGTTCGTTAAAGAAAATACAAACAAACAAAAACATATAAGCCGAACTACGGTAGCTCTGATTCCTCAAAAAGGATACGTAGGCATTGGGGTAGGGCCCAGGCGAGCACAATTTTATTTTCCCTACATTCCTTTCCCCTTTATTTTGCATGCATTTCCCCTTAGCAATAGTAGACAGTAAGCATAGATTAAACACACCCATAAGATAGATGACAAGAGTGGATACCGTAGAATACTACGGGCGTGTGGGGTGCTAATACCTTCCCCTCGCGTAACAGACTCCCTTACCCGATCTCTCGGTCGCAAGACCGTGACTTCTCCCTTCTCAGGTTTTCTCGATGTTTACCTTTCCCTACATGTGGGATAAAAGACGTTCGATGGCGACTTCATTGTTTGATGATTTTCAGCCGGTTGTTTCAGAGTTAGATGGTGAATTCATAGAAACACCTTTCCAACACTTTGAAGAGGTTTCTCCTGAAGTTGCGATAGCCAAAACAATGACTGATGTGCCCATCATTACCAAACCTGTGTCCCGGATGTCATCCCTTAAAGATGCAAAGGCTGTAGTCAAGGAAGGAAGAAGCACAATATGGGGTTAACTGCCAGATTTTCCTTACAAGACATATAAGTTTGGTTTGAGTTTCACTGCTGCTGGTCAGAAAGCTGTGCATCGCTCCCGGGCTGGAGGATCGCCATTGAAAATCACTCATCACGGAGTTGATGCTTTAGAGGATGATGAAGAAGAAAGCAATTTTGAAGAATGGATCTTTCCAACTATTGAAGGAGGATTGAACAACTGGGAGGCGAAAGACTTTGTTCCCATTACTTTCATCAATCAGTACCCATCCACTCCGGATTCCATGGGTAACAATTCTACTATGGCCTTCAGTGACTCTGAAGATCTGGTCAATCATGCCGAATACAAAGGTGATGAAGACTGTGAAGTGTCTGGAGAGTTGGCTAGACTTTTGCAACATGAAGAAAGGGCTATTCTGCCCCATGAAGAGTTGTTAGAGACTATCAATTTGGGAACAGAGGAAGACATAAAAGATGTTAAAGTGGGTGCCAACCTGGAGCCAAGTGTCAAAGAGCGCTTAGTTCAGCTGTTGAATGAATATGTTGAGATCTTCGCCTGGTCCTATGAATACATGTCGGGACTGGATACAAATATTGTGGTTCACCGTCTCCCTACAAGAGAAGTCTGTCCACCAATCAAGCAGAAAGTCCGCCGAATGAGACCCGATATGTTTGAAAAGACCAAAGCTGAAGTGATGAAAAAGTTCAATGCTGGCTTTCTTGCTGTTACTTCCTATCCGCAATGGGTTGCTAACATTGTGCCCGTGCCTAAGAAGGACGGAAAAGTCAGAATGTGTGTGGACTACAAAGACTTAAACAAGGCTAGCCCTAAAGATGACTTTCCATTACCGCACATTGACGTCTTGGTCGAAAACACGGCTCAACACAAGGTATTTTCTTTCATGGATGGATTTTCAGGGTACAACCAGATCAAAATGGCCCCCAAAGACATGGAGAAGACTACTTTTGTTATGCGGTGGGGTACCTTCTGTTATAAAGTAATTCCATTCGGACTGAAGAATGTCGAGGCAACCTATCAGCGAGCCATGGTAGCTTTGTTTCATGACATGATACATCATGAGATTGAAGTCTACGTAGACGACATGATAGCCCGTTCACAGACAGAAGAAGAACACCTCGACCATCTGCAAAAGCTGTTTGTCAGATTAAAAGAATACAAACTCAGACTGAACCCTAGCAAGTGCACTTTCGGAGTCAGGTCCGGTAAACTTTTGGGATTTATCGTCAGTAATAAAGGCATCGAGGTTGATCCTGCCAAAGTCAAAGCTATACAAGAAATGCCAGCCCCTCGCACTGAGAAGGAGGTCAGAGGTTTCTTGGGACCCCTAAACTACATCGCAAGGTTCATCTCTCACCTAACATCTACCTGTGAGCCAATCTTCAAGCTGTTGAAGAAAGATCAGGTGGTTGAATGGAACGATGACTGTCAAGTCGCTTTCGATAAAATCAAGGAGTATTTGCTGGAACCTCCTATCTTGATGCCACCCGTTGAAGGAAGGCCGTTAATCATGTATCTGACTGTTTTGGATAATTCAATAGGGTGAGTACTGGGCCAACATGACGAGTCTGGCCGAAAAGAGCATGCCATTTATTACCTTGGCAAAAAGTTTACCGACTGTGAGACTCGTTACTCACTGCTCGAGAAAACTTGCCGCGCTTTAGTATGGGCTGCTCGCTGGCTAAGGCAGTATATGTTGGCACATACCACTTTGATGATTTCCAAAATGGATCCGATCAAGTACATCTTCGAGATGCCTGCTTTATTCGGAAGAATCGCTAGATGGTAAATGATCCTGACTGAGTATGATATCCAGTACACAACCCAAAAAGCTATAAAGGGGAGCGTACTAGCTGACCATCTAGCTCATCAAGCCGTCGAAG